TCATGAGAAATAAGGCATGAACATCATTTGAAAATAATATGCTTTAAAAATCCTAGTTGAACTTACTGTCTAGCTGTGGTGCTTTATTACGAAATATACATAATGATCACATTGCAGTCCTTGCCCTTAAAGCTTGTTTCCTTGAAGGCAGGCTGCCTGTGAGTCCATAGTTATAGCAAATTTTTTTTTTTGCTGTTACTTATTCCCAATTATAAACTCTCTTGTTCCCAGTCCAGCCATCTGAGAGTTCATGTCATCACTAATTTTGCTTTAATTTTCAAAACAAGCAGATCAGAACACTGGAGGAAAATGTTTTCTGAATCACTTGCGCAACTATTCCTACCCCTTGCAAAAATATTGGGTTGAACTCTCCATGGTTCTACCACACATTGCTTGGTAATTTCTGTGTCTTGTTCCAGAGTAATACCTAGCTACAAGATCACAGACAAGTGCAGGCTTTATCAGTACTGAACTTTCAAAGAGACTTCATTCAGCACTTTTGGGAAAATAACAGGTTGTAGTTTTGACTGTTTTTGCCTACTACAGGTGACCAACTGAGTGCCATTACTGAATTCCATTCCAGTCACGGCCTAGTCTCCCAGCTCCTTCCATCTTGATCAAGCTGCAAAACCTCCCTCTTCCCTAGTCCACAGCCCATTTGTGTTTGGACAATCCCTTTCCTTCCAGCAACCTCAGCCACAGCTTCAGAGTAAGTCTGTCAGCCTTTCCTCCCTCATCAGCCCATTTCTGAAGCTTTAACCATTGCTTGCATAACAATCTTAGTTGCTTTCCAGCTATTGATCATCATTCTGATTCTCCCGACCCCTGTTTTATTTTGGCTTTCCATGACTTTGAAGGCAAACATCAGCCTTCCCATAGTAATTAGAGACTACTGCACTGACCTTTTGCATATTATCTGTAGTATTGAAAAAATATATTTATACATTTTTTTTTAACCCAATCCTTTGGGATTTTAATTAAATTACAGGGTTTCAAATACTCTTGCAGTAACACTTTAAAATATCTCTTGGTACTCCTTGAGCACACAAGCCTTATGCAGTTAAATCCATTCATTTCTATATCAGGGCCTTGTCATAAATTTTAGTATTAATGGTAAAGCTTATGATGATCACTGAAAGGTCCCACCCTTCATAAATGACGTGCTGAGAAGTTTCACCACTAAACAATTCTGGAAGATAAGACCATTATTTTCCCCCATTAAGTTAAAGGTGGTTGTAGTATCACATAGTAGTAGTAATATAGTTTTGGTGTCACAGCTCATTTAGCTAACATCAAGTTGTTTCAGTAGACATATCTTTAGAATCGTAGATTTGGAAGGGACCCCAAGGGTCATCTAGTCCAGCCCCATGCAATGCAGGAATCTCAGCTAAAGCATCCATGACAGATGGCCATCCAACTTCTGCTTAAAAACTTCCAAGGAAGGAGAGTCCGCAACCTCCCGAGACTGTTCTACTGCCGGAACAGATCTTACTGTCAGAAAGTTCTTCCTGATGTTTAGTTGGGATCTCTTGTAACGTGAAGCCATTGGTTCGAATCAAATCTTGTGGGTTCATATAATGCCCCCAGCTTGCTGTTGTCCAGTTAATTTTTCTTTGTAGCTATAGAAGAACAATAATCTGCTGCTTTAGTTTAGGCTTTAGTTTATGCTTGTTTTCAAAGAACTATTTGTCTGCTCTTGAAAAGTGGTTGTGCCAGTTGATATCTATTCCCATCAATTGGGCGCACCAGAAGAAAACTGACTTGTGAATCAGAGTTAAGAAACACCTTAGAACCGAAGGCCTCTCTTCCAGCTTGCCCTTTGATCTAGACCTTGGGTATTATAAGATTACTTTTAAAATGCCCAACATAGATTTGTGAG